CTGTCCTGCTCCCGCAAGATTCTGTCCTGCTCCCTCAAGATTCTGTCCTGCTTCTGCAAGATTCTATCCTGCTCCTGCAAGATTATGTCCTGCTCCCTCAAGATTCTGTCTTGCTCCCTCGAGATTCTGTCCTGCTCCCGCAAGATTCTGTCCCACTCCTGCAAGATTCTGTCCCGCTCCCACAAGATTCTGTCCCGCTCCCGCAAGATTCTGTTCTGCTCCCTTAAGATTTTTTCCCGCTCCCGCAAGATTCTGTCCCGCTTCTGCAAGATTCTGTCTCGCTCCCGCAAGATTCTGTCCCGCTCCTGCAAGATTCTGTCCCGCTCCCGCAAAATTCTGTCCTGCTCCCGCAAGATTCTGTCTTGCTCCCGCAAGATTCTGTCCTGCTTCTGCAAGATTATGTCCCGCTCCCTTAAGATTCTGTCCTGCTCCCTCAAGATTCTGCCTTGCTCCAGCAAGATTCTGTCCAGCTCCCGCAAGATTCTGTCTGGCTCCCGCAAGACTCTGTCCCGCTCCTGCAAGATTCTGTCCTGCTCCCGCAAGATTCTGTCCCGCTTCCTCAAGATTCTGTCTTGCTTCCTCAAGATTCTGTCCTGCTTCTGCAAGATTTTGTCCCGCTCCTACAAGATTCTGTCCTGCTCCCTCAAGATTCTGTCTTGCTCCCTCAAAATTCTGTTCTGCTCCCTCAAGATTCTGTCTTGCTCCCTCAAGATTCTGTCTTGCTCCCTCAAGATTCTGTCCCGCTTCTGCAAGATTCTGTCCCGCTCCCTCAAGATTCTGTTCTGCTCCCTCAAGATTCTGTCTTGCTCCCTCAAGATTCTGTCCCACTTCTGCAAGATTCTGTCCCGCTCCCTCAAGATGCTGTCCCGCTCCTGCAAGATTCTGTCCCGCTCCCTCAAGATTCTGTCCCGCTCCCTCAAGATTCTGTCCCGCTCCTGCCAGATTCTGTCCCGCTCCTTCAAGATTCTGTCCCACTCCTGCCAGATTCTGTCCCGCTCCCTCAAGATTCTGTCCCGCTCCTGCCAGATTCTGTCCCGCTCCCTCAAGATTCTGTCCCGCTCCCTCAAGATTCTGTCCCGCTCCCGCAAGATTCTGTCCCGCTCCCTTAAGATTCTGTCCCACTCCTGCAAGATTCTGTCCTGCTCCCGCAAGATTCTGTCCTGCTCCCTCAAGATTCTGTCCTGCTTCTGCAAGATTCTATCCTGCTCCTGCAAGATTCTGTCCCGCTCCCTCAAGATTATGTCCTGCTCCCTCAAGATTCTGTCTTGCTCCCTCAAGATTCTGTCCTGCTCCCTCAAGATTCTGTCCTGCTCCCGCAAGATTCTGTCTGGCTCCGCAAGACTCTGTCCCGCTCCCGCAAGATTCTGTCCTGCTCCCGCAAGATTCTGTCCTGCTCCCTCAAGATTCTGTCCCGCTCCCTCAAGACTCTGTCCCGCTCCTGCAAGATTCTGTCCCGCTCCCGCAAGATTCTGTCCCACTCCTGCAAGATTCTGTCCCGCTCCCACAAGATTCTGTCCCGCTCCCGCAAGATTCTGTTCTGCTCCCTCAAGATTCTTTCCCGCTCCCGCAAGATTCTGTCCCGCTTCTGCAAGATTCTGTCTCGCTCCCGCAAGATTCTGTCCTGCTCCTGCAAGATTCTGTCCCGCTCCCGCAAGACTCTGTCCCGCTCCCGCAAGATTCTGTCTTGCTCCCGCAAGATTCTGTCCTGCTTCTGCAAGATTATGTCCCGCTCCCTTAAGATTCTGTCCTGCTCCCTCAAGATTCTGCCTTGCTCCAGCAAGATTCTGTCCCGCTCCCGCAAGATTCTGTCTGGCTCCCGCAAGACTCTGTCCCGCTCCTGCAAGATTCTGTCCTGCTCCCGCAAGATTCTGTCCCGCTTCCTCAAGATTCTGTCTTGCTTCCTCAAGATTCTGTCCTGCTTCTGCAAGATTCTGTCCTGCTCCCTCAAGATTCTGTCCTGCTTCTGCAAGATTCTGTCCTGCTTCCTCAAGATTCTGTCTTGCTTCCTCAAGATTCTGTCTTGCTTCCTCAAGATTCTGTATTGCTCCCGCAAGATTCTGTCCTGCTCCTTCAAGATTCTGTCCTGCTTTCGCAAGATTCTGTCCTGCTCCTTCAAGATTCTGTCCCGCTACCGCAAGATTCTGTCCCGCTCCCGCAAGATTCTGTCCTGCTCCCTCAAGATTCTGTCTTTCTCCCGCAAGATTCTGACCCGCTTCCGCAAGATTCTGTCCTGCTCCTGCAAGATTCTGTCTGGCTCCCGCAAGACTCTGTTCCACTCCCTCAAGATTCTGTCCCGCTCCCTCAAGATTCTGTCCTGCTCCCTCAAGATTCTGTCCTGCTTCTGCTAGATTCTGTCTGGCTCCCGCAAGACTCTGTCCCGCTCCCTCAAGATTCTGTTCTGCTCCAGCAAGATTCTGTTCTGCTCCCTCAAGATTCTGTCCTGCTTCTGCAAGATTCTGTCCTGCTCCCTCAAGATTCTGTCCTGCTTCTGCAAGATTCTGTCCTGCTCCCTCAAGATTCTGTTCTGCTCCAGCAAGATTCTGTTCTGCTCCTGTAACATTTTGTCCAGCTCCAGCAAGATTCTGTCAAACAATGCAGTCAGTGCGTCAGGTCCTGTGAGACGCAATAATTAATGAATGTTGTTTGTCAGTTGTTTATTTCTGTGAATGACTGAGTGAATGATGAATTTGATCGGTATCATCCTATGTTTGCTCATAAACTAGAGTTTCTGAGATCTGATTGGCTACTGCTTTTTGATTGGCATGTCTGCAGGGTCACCGTGGCGATATTGGTCTGGAGGGAAGGGCAGGACTTCCTGGTCTGCGAGGTGAAGCTGGTCTTCCTGGAGTCCCTGGAGAAAGAGGACCTGAAGGGTTAAAGGTCATCTACAGAATATATTAAAAATAATACTTGATAAGCATATAAATATGCACGTCTGAACTTTGACCTGTGTATGCATGTGCAGGGAGAAATGGGTTTACCAGGAGACAGAGGACCGGCTGGTGTGAAGGGTATGGAGGGCGCAACGGGGGACCAAGGCCTGAAAGGAGAGCAAGGTGCTAAAGGAGAACCAGTGAGTCTCGTGCAGATATTTAACCACTTCTCATTGCTTAATGAAGTCGACATTTTTACTAGATATTTTAGAAACTGCTTTTTATGAATACAGGGGTCTAAAATGTTTAGAATATATCAATATATTAATTTGGAAATTGAAATAAAAATATATTTTCTCATTGGCTTTCTGCCATGACCCCTTGTTCTGATTGGCTCTCAGTCATGACCCAGTGTTCTGATTGGTTGTCAGGCATGACACAGTATTCTGATTGGTTGTCAGTCATGAATCAGTGTTCTGATTGGCTCTCAGTCATGATCCAGGGTATTGATCGAATCTCAGTCAGTCATGATCCAGGGTATTGATTGGATTTCAGTCATGAGCCAGTGCTCTGATTGGGTGTCAGTCATCTGATTGGCTTTCAGTCATGACCCAGTTCTCTGATTGGCTGTGAGTTAAGGTCCAGTGTTCTGATTGGCTTTCAGATGTGACTCTGTGTTCTGATTAGTTGTTAGTCATGTGACCTGTATTTGATTTCCTGCAGGGTGAGGTGGGAGATGCCGGCATGCTGGGACTGATAGGATTTCCAGGACCGAAGGTCAGTATGTAGAAACTGTGCATGTGAAATCGAATGAGTCAGGATGGGTCACTTACCCACATAAAACTAATCCAGATCTGATATCAGTTAAATCATGCAATACAGTGATCAGTGTGGGTACTAAACCCGAGTCTGCTGTTAAACAAATGCTCCTCTGGCTCTCAGGGTCCGGATGGAGATCTGGGCTACACTGGTGTTCCTGGACTCAAGGGACCAGCCGGTGTTTTGGTGAGTGTCGTCTCATCTAGCTTTTAATAAATAAGTGTGTGTCTGATGGCCAGTGTTATGGTTAGTGTGTGTGTTTGTGTGTGTGTGTGTGTGTGTGTGTGTGTGTGTCTGATTGCCAGTGTTAGTGTGTGTGTGTCTGATGGCAGTGTTATGGTTAGTGTGTGTGTGTGTGTGTGTGTGTGTGTGTCTGATTGCCAGTGTTAGTGTGTGTGTGTCTGATGGCAGTGTTATGGTTAGTGTGTGTGTGTGTGTGTGTGTGTGTGTGTGTGTCTGATGGCCAGTGTTAGTGTGTGTGTGTGTCTGATGGCCAGTGTTATGGTTAGTGTTAGTGTGTGTGTGTGTGTGTATCTGATGGCCGGTGTGTTTTTCAGGGTTTCTCGGGTCCTGTGGGTCCAGTGGGGATGATCGGGCCAATCGGGAAGCCTGTGAGTGTGTATTCTGCTTCTGGAGTCTTCCCGAAGCCTGATGAGGCAGAGATAATGTGTGTTTTCTGTGTGTTTTCTGTGTTTTAGGGCGTTCAGGGACCTAAAGGAGGACGTGGAGAGATGGTAAAATCTTCAGCTCACTACATTCATCTGTTTACACACCTCAAGACCTGAAATATCACTGTGTGTGTGTGTGTGTGTGTGTGTGTGTGTGTGTGTGTGTGTGTGTGTGTGTGTGTGTTTGTGTGTGAGAGAGAGAGAGAGAGAGAGAGAGAGAGAGAGAGAGAGAGACTGTGTGAGTGTGTGTGAGAGTGTACAATTGTAAGATGTATGTAAATGTAAGAGAGTGTGTATGAATATGCAAGAGTGAGAATTTGTAAATCTGTGTGAGGGTTTGTGAGTGTGTAAGGGTGTGTAGGTATGTGTGTGTGAAGTGCACAAACTGGACTGAGAAAAAGCACACACTCAACACACTGCAATACCAGCAGTGACCTGTGAGGTGCGCCAATGTCACATACACACACAAACACACACACAAACAACACACACTCTTGAATATAACATTGAACATGTTATTTATTTGTTTAGTAGTGTGTAATGAATGTAGTGTGTGAAGGCGTGAGTGTAAATGTGTGTGTTTTGTGTGTGTTCAGGGGCCGCAGGGGCCGCAGGGCAGTCCAGGGCCACAGGTACATCATGCATCACACATCACTACACTATATTCATCAGTCGATGCTCTGAAGGACTGAATTAAACATTCGTCTGCTTTAATTTCTCTTCTTGCATCTGTGAAAGCTGTGAATAAATATTGAATAATGTCATGATATTTTATAATGCACATTTATGAAACTTTATGAAATGCCATATCTCTACATAACTTCAAACAACAACACTAATAATAATAATAATAAATACAGAAATCATCACATTTTAATAAATCATTTTAATTGATTTAATTGCATTTCTTCTGTGTTGAAATGTTCCTGAATGTGTAATGAGAGTTACAGTAGAATATTCAGTATCATAACACTGTAATGTAGATATTAATCTGCTTACAGACGGGGGTCAGGGCTAGTTTAGCATAACATATAATTGTTTTATGAACTCAGTGCATGACCAAACTGAGCTTCTGTGTTTTTACAGGGACCTCCAGGTTCTCCAGGCCCATCGGTAAGACATCAAGCACAGATTTTAATATTTATTATTAACGTTATTTTACATTAAAGTGTTTGGATTTTGGCTGATGCTTTTAATTATGATTTAATGTTTGATGAAAAAATATTACATGAAATTAAGTGTTTTTGTTTATTTTTGTAAAGTATAATAAATGAATGAATTTGTTTATTTTTTTTATATTTAATCATATTTTTAATATTTCAGCAATTGAGACTCTGCTTCTCCAGTCCATGTGTCTTGATTTAGAAGTGTTTGTATGTTAGAAATGTCATTTAATGACGTTTTGTTTATAATCTATTTATTATAATATTTAATTATATTTTGAATATGTCTGAAAACAAGGTTTTATTCACGTGTCTACTTTTGTGCTTGTGTCTAAAATACATTACATTATTTTATTCATTCATTCATTCATCTTTTCAGAACACAAAGCTTTGCTCCTCCAGTGCACGTGTCTTGATCTGTGTGTATGTCAGTTGTAGTGTAGTAATGAGTGTAAATCGGCATGTTTTCCTCCATCTGTGCTTCCTCAGAGACTCTTGAGGCCTGCGGTGGAGCCGCTGCTGGAGCCGGACGCTGATCTGCAGCTGGAGGTTAACAATTATTACAAGTTCATCTTTATTTCTATAGCGCTTTTACACTGTAGATAGTGCCAAAGCGGATTAACACAGAAGTTCTGGTAAACCGAAACCGCTTTAGTCCAGTTTTCACAGATGAACTTCAGTCAAGGTGCTTTTAAGTCATTTCACTGGACAGCCGTCTTTGAAGCGCCTCTCATGCGTTCAGTCTGAATGGGGAAACATTAAAGTTTCTAAAACTGTTAGCCAAGCTTGCAACTACACTACAAATCTGCACTCATTAATAAAATGAAGCAGCAAACGTCATAATGAAGCTTAAACACACGTCTGCCCCTCCCCCGGAGAATCCTCAGTCTATAGTGATCACTGATTGGCTCCTGTACTAGAAGGCGGGGCTTCATCTGCCATATTGACTGTTACACTTTTCCCCATTCAGAACTCTACAGGTGACACGTCTGGTGTACTCTAGAGTCTGTAGTTCAGTTCAGTGTAATGAAAAGCCCAAACGTCCAGCAGTGAAAGCAAACAGAGTTTATCCGTATATCTCAGGGTTTCCAGAACACCGAGCAGCAGAGCGCAGAGATCCTGCGGACCATTCAGTATCTGAGCGGCGTCATCTCCAGCATGAAAACACCGCTGGGAACTCGAGAAAACCCAGCGCGATTCTGCCGAGACCTGCGGGACTGCAAACACACCAGCAGAGACGGTAACACAACCAATACACACAAGACAACACTGCTGAAGAACACAGTCACACACACTGATCACACACACACACAACACTACAACTGTGCATGTGGAGTGTAATGTGACGCTGTTTGCTGTGTGTTGATCAGGTTTGTTCTGGGTTGATCCGAATCTGGGCTGCACATCTGACGCCATTCAGGTGTTCTGCAACTTCACTGCAGGTGGACAAACCTGCATAAACCCGGTTACCAGCGATCAGGTACTGCAGTCAACACACAGACATTACTACTGCCGACAAAACCATTACAGATAACACTGAACACACAACACTACTAGCTCTATATATCAAACCCCAAATCAGTTCTACATTTACTTGTGTTTGATTATTGCAGACAGTACAACAAACATTATTAATGTGTTCCTCACGATTTGTATAAACACGTTCTCCAATTTTGGTTCGTGGAACACATTTCAAGTAGTGATGGGAACTTCAGATCATTTTACTGACTCGGATCTTTGAGTCTCGTTTATCAAGATGAACGAATCTTTTTTCGAGTCATTTCGTTCATTTGGTTCAATTTGCCAAAATATTATTAAAATGTTATGAATTGCTTTCAAACACATCTACAACTAGCCCAAAAGGTTGATCACACGACAAATAACTCATAAATAGAATACTATAAGAAGGAGAAAATAATAATTCAATGTTTACCTGCTCTTTTGTCTGTGAAGGTATTGTCGTCTCTTTGCTCAGCTCAGCTCTTCATGTCTTCAAATGTCAGTGGTTCGTTCACGTTACACTGATAGTCACATATAATCTTAACCAATGTACACAGTCCATAGGAGCCATGATTATTAGTTCACCTTTCAATTCAATTCTTTTTCCAGCTCTAAACGCGTATGATTGGCTTCTGCCTTTCCACGATGAACGACTCAAAAGACTTGAAATGAACGATACCACCTGCACAAATGTGCGCACGAACAGATGAATGAATCACTCCCTGAGAGGTGTTCCCGAGTTCCCGAGTCATATTGAAGATCCGTTCAAAATGAACAAATCTTTCATGAACGACCCATCACTAATTTCAATAAGAGTGGTAACAGTAAAGCCACAGTGTGATGTTGCTGTTCCTTTTCAAAACACTTGCAGACATTTAGGGATTAAAGACAGCAAGTGCTGAAGTGTCTCAGCTGTAATTCTGTCCCATTCTTGCTGCAAACAAGAATGAAGGTCGGCAACACATTCTCTATTGGAGACAGGTCGGGACTGCAGGCAGGCCAGTCCAGTGTCTGTCTCCTCTTCCTCCACAGCAGGACTCTGTAATATGAGCTGAATGTGGTTCTGCAATGTCTTATTGAACTGTGCATGAGCGTCCCAGGAGAAGACTAATATATAATGAAAAATATAAATATATTTATGAGGAAAAAATAAACAATAATAATCATGAGGAACACATTAGTAAGTTAGTGTGTTGTTTTGTCTGCAGTCAAACACAAGTCAAAGTAAATTCAGAAATCTCTACTTTCTTTTTTTATCTGTGTTTTCCATACTTTATCTGATTTGGGATTGTACAAACATTACTAATACTATCCATACTATTATACATCACGAGTACTCTGCACCCAGCTGTGATGATGCACATTTGCTGAGGTGGTTCTGGTTGTGTATTGGCTTTATTTACTGTTAAATCTGCTGCTTTTGACTGTAAATGAACCTAACATGACTGAGAAAGTGACTCCAGCTGTGGGAAATGTTTGTGGAGTGAATCTGAGCATGACTCTGCAAATCTGTCATGTGATTACGGTAAAGTAAGGGCAGGTTTCCTGATGGTGACTTGCAGAGAGAGAGAGAGTGTGTGTGTGTGTGTGTGTGTGTGTGTGTGTGTGTGTGTGTGTGTGTGTGTGTTTGTGTGTTTGTGTGTGTGTGTGTGTGTGTGTGTGTTTGTGTGTGTGTGTGTTTGTGTGTGTGTGTGAGTGTGAGTGTGTGTGTGTGTGTGTGTGTGTGTGTGTGTGTGTGTGTGTGTGTGTGTGTGTGTGTGTGAGTGTGTGTGTGTGTGTGTGTGTGTTTGTGTGTGTGTGTTTGTGTGTGAGTGTGTGTGTGTGTGTGTGTGTGCGTGTGTGTGTGCGTGTGCGTGTGCGTGTGCGCGTGTGCGTGTGCGTTTGTGTGCGTGTGCGTGTGCGTGTGTGTGTGTGTGTGTGTGTGTGTGTGTGTGTGTGTGTGTGTGTGTGAGTGTGTGTGTGTGTGTGTGTGTGTGTGTGTGTGTGTGTGTGTGTTTGTGTGTGTGTATGTTTGTGTGTGTATGTTTGTGTGTGTGTGCGTGTGTGTGTGTTTGTGTGTGTGTGTGTGTGTGTGTGTGTTGTCAGACGCTTGTGCTGATGTCTCTGTTCTCCACAGATGCTGTATGGTGTGGGGAAGGTCCAGATGAAGTTCCTGCATCTGCTGAGCTCCAGTGTGTCTCAGAGCGTCTCCATCTGCTCCAGTGAGCCGGCAGTGACGGACACACACTCCACACACGCCCCACACACGCTGCGCCTCCACGGCTGGAACGGTCACGTGTTCCAGGAAAGCTCCAGCGCCGGTCCTGATGAGATTCTGCACAACTGTGAGGTCAGTGCAGTGAAGGAGCAGCACACTTCAGAACACACAGCGCAGCACATGCCGCTCTCGCTCAGAGTGTGTGTCGCGACTCTACCCTGCTGAAAAATCCAGCTTAAACCAGCCTAGGCTGGTTGGCTGGTTTTAGCTGGTCGACCAGGCTGGTTTTAGAGGGGTTTTGGCCTCTTCCAGCCTGATTTTAGCTGGTCTGGTTGGAAAATGACCAGCTAAATCCAGCTAAAACCAGCTTGACCAGCCTGGTTTAAGCTGGACATAGCTGGTTTTGGCTGGGCTCTCAGCCTGGCTAGGCTGGTCAAGCTGATTTTAGCTGGTCATCTCCCAGCCTGACCAGCTAAGACCAGGCTGGAAATGGCTGGAAACCAGCCTGGAAGTGGCCAAAACCCCTCTAAAACCAGCCTGGTCGACCAGCTAAAACCAGCCAACCAGCCTAGGCTGGTTTAAGCTGGATTTTCTCAGTAGGGTAGTCTAAATATTAAACATTGAAGATCAGTCTGCATTTTCTAGACAAGCAAGAATATAGTGTTGTTCAGAAATAACGAGTGAAAATGAGGAGAGTTTGTCCTGCAGACAGCAGAATGATCTGCCTCTGGGCTGAGCAGGATGATGCTGTTTTTGGGTTGATTGAGGTTATTGTAGTCGTCACTAGATGGCACCAAACAGTCTCAAATCCACAGTGTTTTTCCCTGGTGCTGATGAACGTATTGACTGACGGTGATTCTCAGGTCTGGGATGAGTCTGGGTTTGGGCTGGGTGATATTGATATTTATTGACTGAACATCATCGTCAATATCCATTAAAAATGATTTAGTATGTAGTTTCAGTGTGTAGTTTTGCTATAGTTTTATTAAAATGTGGCTGCTGAGGACTTGTAAACGGTGCCGTTTTCCATCCGCACCTAGTTGAAAACATCTAAACTTTTCTGAATGCAGGAGTGCACCGCGATTCATCCAAGTAGATCTCGCCAATCTGCTTCACGCGTTGTATGGAATACACACATTCGGGTTATAACAGCAGACTAATAACCTCAGACAAACACCGCAGCGCTGTTACCGCTCTCTATAATCTTGCGTCAGAGCTGCAGCCCGTTGTCCAGTTGTCGTCCTCTGAGAAATCAGTTCATGGTCACCTCGTTACGAGAGACGCCGGGGCCTGGCCTTCAAAAGGTTTAATCCGGATAAAATTGATCCAGATTTAGTAATCCTGTGTCTGTGATCCGGGATCGCGTAATCCAGCTGAGGCAGTTTTTCAAAGCAACATGGGATTGGATTAATCTGATGTGGATAGGAACTTTTCAGGATCACTAAATCTGGATAACCAGTGCTCAAACAGGAGAGGAGATCACAGTGTACAACTCTAGATATGTGAAGAGCAACAGGTAGAATAGCCAGCATGAGGTCAATAAACAAAAACAAGAAACCCTCAGCCCATGCTCCTCCAGCAGCCCGCTCAGCTGACAGCTACAACACAAACACTGTACAGTGAGGATATTCATAACAAGCTGCAAATATAGATGTGTTGAATTCAAAACAAAGACAATATCAAAAACTCCACAGTAATGTCAGTTTTCCTCATCTGATGTGGAGAGAGCAGCTTGTCTGAGCGCAGGCTTTAGGAGGCTGATCTCGGGTCTGGTCTTGGTTTGCTGCAGTGTGCTCAGAGTCAGTTGTTCCTCTGCAGATGAAGCTGTGCTTCTGCCCTTTCAGTCTCTTTCTGCAGTTGTTGAAAGGGATTTCAGAAATCAGAGATTGCCATTCTTTGCCTTTTTTTGGTTATTCTGTGATTATTGCGTGCATCACTAATAAATATTCGCAAATACTTGCTAAAAGTGGCCCAAATTTGTTTCAGGTTAACTGATCCCCATTTGTCAAATCTTCTCCGGGCCACTAAGGCTGTACTCACACTAGGTACAGTTGCCTCGAACCGGGCCAAAGCACGCTTGTCCCCCTCCCGTCTCCCCCGACGGCCCGCACTCACACTACAATCAGGCCTGGGCACGCTTACATCATCACTGCTGCGCTGTTCAGTGAGCGCTCTCGCTCAGCACAGTGGAGATTGCTCTAGTTATATCGTGTCAGTGGTTTGATATGCAGTGACATGCAGTCAAATATTTCGCCAAACAGTCCTTAGGGATGCGATGACACGCAGTCAGATATTTCGCCGAACAGATCCGCCACTTTTGGCGCTCGTAAACAATCATAAAGCCCTCGTGCTGCAGGAATGAGGAGGTCTGCTGAAGCTGTAGCTGTGGTGCAGTGAGGAGTTTGCGTCTTTAATAAACTAGGGCAGTTTGCGTTCACTGAACAGTAAGAATGATTAATAAATCCATATGAAACAGCCCCTTAAAGTCACGTCTCGCTTTCAGTTTCGGGCTTTGGCACGGTACGTTTGTAGTGTGAGTGCAAAGCGTGCCAAAGTGAAAGCCCAAGTGAACCGCACTCAGGCACACCTCTTCCAACCGGGCCAGGGCCAGCCAAGTGAACCGTGCTGATTCAGCGCACTCACACTTCTCAAACGATCCGGGAAACGGGCCTGGGCACGGTACGGATGGCATAGTGTGAGTAGGCCCTAAAGGCTCAAATCCACAATAGCCAGAGCTAACTGTGCCGAAGATTTGCCAAAAGTGGCCCACACATGTCTTAAGATAACTGGGCCACATTTACACCTGCACGTGTGAGCCACTTTAGGTTTAGACCCAGATTCCCCTTAAACGACTAGGCCACATTTTTTCCAACTGTGCCTCACGCTTGTCCTCCATCTTTTGGGCCAAATTGATGATTTTCCACATGGGCCACATTAGACTCACATTCAGATTACATTCTGCCATAAGGGCCAAATCTTTGCCTTAAATGGCCCATAAATGGATTTGAGTCTTTGGCCCACTTTGCTATAACGCAGGTGGACCACTTCAGGCTCATTCATTATGTCTGGGCCAAAGGAAGAGCAGCAGTGCTGCAGAACTGCCTACAGTGGCCCACATTCACATGCTGTCTGGGTCAGATATAGGAGTCACTAGTGTTTATTTTATTATGAAGAGATCAGATATTCTGTTGAAATATTGGTGTTTTTGACTATTAAAACTATTTGGCCTAGTAATGCTGGTAAATGAAAATAAAGTGGTGAAATAAAAACAATTTTAATGTTAAAAATTATTAAATATGTAAATATTCATGAGTTGTAAATATTCATGAGTTATCAGTACTGAATGATATGAAATTTGATATCAGGATAATTTTTTACAATATCGCCCAGCCCTAGTCTGTGTTATTCAGCCATTCTTATCTGAGAATAACACACCTTAGAATATCTCAACCGACCAATCAGAATCCAGTATTCCAGACAGCTGTGTAGTAATCTGAGATGACAACCGGCTGGATGTACTTTATGCCATAATTGAGTTATACATTTACTGACGATACTGCTGTTAATGTGTGTGTGTGTGTGTGTGTGTGTGTGTGTGTGTGTGTGTGTGTGTGTGTGTGTGTGTGTGTGTGTGTGTGTGTGTGTGTGTCCATCAGTCCGTCTTCCTCCAGACGCAGCACACTCAGCAGCTCCCCCTCGTGGGCATCGAAGGTCTCGGAGAACAGCGGCGGGTGGAAGTGGGTCCCGTCTGCTTCCTGTGAACCACTGAAGGACTTCCTGTTGCTGATCTCAGACCTGCAGAACACAGAGCCTGCGCTGTTGACCTGTGGTCTGCTGTAGTAGCGTATGGAGCAGTGGATGTGTTGATGGTGCTCTACCTCCCTCACGTACAGGTGCTCGCGTTCAGGTGCCGCAGGCAGAAACACACTCTACGCAAATCCGCCATGGGGACCGCACAGCGCCGGTTCAGCTCACTACATCATCTGTGTCAGAGAGGGAAATAATACGCTGGATTATAATGCTGATAGGGGCGCAGTGGGTAGCACAATCGCCTCACAGCAGGAAGGTTGCTGGTTCGAGTCCCGGCTGGGTCAGTTAGCTTTTCTGTGTGGAGTTTGCATGTTCTCCCCGTGTTGGCGTGGGTTTCCTCCGGGTGCTCCGGTTTCCCCCACAGTCCAAACACATGCGCTATAGGGGAATTGGGTAGGCTAAATTGTCCGTAGTGTGTATGTGTGTGTGTGTGTGTGTGTGTGTGTGTATGTGTGTGTGTGTGTGTGTGTGTGAGAATGAGTGTGTATGGGTGTTTCCCAGTACTGGGTTACAGCTGGAAGGGCATCCGCTGTGTAAAACATATGCTGGAATAGTTGACGGTTCATTCCGCTGTGGTGACCCCTGATTAATAAAGGGACTGAGCTAAAAAGAAAGTGAATTACTCCACATGAGCACAGGTGTCTTGAGAACCGCTGTATCTCCATTCACACACATCAAAACGCAATACCAGGAGACTAAAATAAATCAGCGTGTGCTGTTTTCTGATTGGCCGACACCACTGTGCGTTTTTTTATAATCCTGAAGGATTGTGGCACATGCATGAACATGGCTCTCATGTCCCAATGTAAGATCTCAGGTGTCAGAAAGTCAGACTAAACACAATAAAGACGCGCCAGACACCACAGAAAACGCCCCCGGAGTTTGACGTCATCCACCCGCGACACTTTCACTATCCTGCGTTCTGAAATGATTCCTCACAGCAAGCGTAAACAATCTGTAGTGGCAATCTTAGAGCAAACTCAGTCGATGTTTTTGCGAACACACACGGACACATTGAAGGAATCTCTCCAGGAACGTGACGTCTGAACCAGAGGTGGGTGGTGACGAGTTACATTCACTTGAGTAAAATTATTGAGTTACGAGTACATTTAAATATGTGTACCTTTACTCAAGTACAGTATTAGAGATAAATCATTACTCTTCACTACATATGGCAGCGTTCCTCCGTTACTATCCAATGATAATAATATGCTCCATGTTTTGTTTGCAAATATCACGAGGCGCCGCAGTGGAAAGGTTGTTACAAGAGGTTGCTATAGAGACGTGTCTCCCGCTTTCGGTTAGGGCGCACGCACATGTGTTGGAATGATGGCTGAAGTCGAGGAAGACGTGCGAGTTATACTGCGGTCACGCCATGGCAGTCTGCGGTTCCGAGAAGGGCGGTCATGCTGTCTGTGCAGTGAGTTTATCAGAGTTTATATATATATATGAGCAATATCACACGAGTAGCAGTGAGATATGGCTGTATATCAGCACTGGTGGGAGACGTGCCTTAGCGTTCCACTAGTGCTGATATACAGCCATATGGCACTGCTACTCGTGTGTGTGTTTATACAACAGTTCGACGGCACAATTGTGTATATAAATAAGAAAATCAAACACGGAGAGTCTCAAAACCCTTTTTTAATAAGGACTACTTTCTTCCGCCATTCATTCACATCTGCAGCTGACGTCAGAACAGCAGAAGTCGTTACTCATTCACCAACGTCACTTTGGAGCTAATGTTTGAATGACTCTATTGCGTCTAAAGTGATGACAAAACTGCTGATTTTGCTCACACTTTAGGATTATAAGGCTGAACGTGACATGAAATGGCATCCATCTACAGAGATATCTTCTTACAGTGTTACAGTCTACAGTATTTCTCTGTTGCAATCGGGATTTCACAGTAATCAACCCAGAAAAAAGCAACGCAATCACTACCAGACTGCTGTTGTGTTTGCGATAAGGAAAAACAGTAAACACGTGCGGGCATTTCTGCTAACACAACACACATTCTTGATATGCCAGCAAATCAGTATAAATACAGCACTACAGCATACAAAAGAGAGAGATCCACTTAGAATATCACTCTTACCAGCACACCTGCCAACATGTCTCTGAAAATCCAGGGGGTCTCTGAATAGTGAGTAACACTGTTGACAAACGGGATGGGATGCAGCAGGTTTTGGGCGGCTGCCGCCATCGGGTACTGTGCCAAAGTTGGCAACCTGGGGGTGTTTACAGACTGTACCAAAGAGGCAATACTCCCAGAAAAAACAAGAGTGTTGGCAGGTATGCCTACCACTTTAGTAATGATTTGATCTGCTGCAGTTAGAAATCAGACTGTTATAATCTTCTAAGCGTAAGGGCTTATTATGCGGTTCTGTCGCCATCTTGTGGATAGAAAACGTCAACCACCTTAGGTCTACACTATGGCAGGCTAATGTCCGCCGACGAGCTCTCTCAGAAATTGTAAATATTTTAAAATAGGCACTATTCTTATAAATAAACTGCATAGTTGCAATCTAAACAACTACATTCTCCACTAAAAAGCGTCAGAAGTACACGATGTTGTCTAACAGCAGTAATATTTGTCAAACTGTAGAGTCTCTCTGCTTGTTGCTGGCTGTATGTGGGCTGAGTTATACACAAAGGTGAAGGGTGAAGAGGCCTCTGTGTGATGTTACTGGCAAAATACTGCACGACTATCAGCCAATCAAATTTAAGAACCAGACAGAACTGTTGTATGTATATATATATATATATATATATCATCAAAAATAACTAGTTACTGTTGAGTAATTTTTGCATCAGGTACTTTTTCCTCTTTCTCGAGTAACCTTTACGATTGTTACTTTTACTTGAGTGAATATTTCCGCAAGTACTTTTACTTGAGTTTAGATTTCAAGTACTCTACCCACCTCTGGTCTGAACAGGTTGTGTATTTGCGTACAGTGTGTTTCTGGCCGTCAGGTGTGCATTTTTGTTCATTTTTCTGTTGCGTTCGGTCCTTTCAATCTGAACGAAGCTAATTTATATGAACAGTGTGTTAAGTTATATTCCACATCGCCTTAAATATACTTTTTTTCACTTAAAGCGAAGCCACGAGTATCTCACGTACATCTTGAAGAGAACTGATGGGATTTTTGTGTAGTTCTGTTGGCGAAAGTCTCATTATAGTGTTGTAAACCCCTCTGAAAGATCCTCGCAGGTGAATAAAGCAGGTATACTGTGATGTTTCCCAGCGCTGCTCGTGGCGTGCGGTGATTTCTCTGTGGTGCTGCAGTATTCAGAGTTTATCATTCTTGATTTCCCCTTATGTATATTTGGACATTATATGTTTGTTTATTTATGTTATCTTCGTCCAGTACTCCAGTAAATGATGGTCAGCTTCGCCGTTTACTTGGAGATCTTATTTATGTCAGATTTGGTTTTTTGTATATAAACACAAATTGGGAGTTTATGTTGTGTTCTGGCAGCTGCGATTGGCCAGATTCAGATCACATGATCACACACACACACTCACACACACACACTGACACACACACACAGGAAGTGTAACACACCTGTTAACTTATGATTACAGTATCAGAACTGCCCCTTATATATGTGCCATCGGGAATAAAGACAAAACATGTAAATATTGAATATTTTGACATTAAAATAAACGTTTTAACCCCAGTTATGCCTTCAGTTCTTTTAAGATGGATGATGTGTTCTTGTATGAGGGATAAATGGATGGATGGATGGATGGATAAATAAGTGGGATGGATGGACGGACGGACGGATGGATGGATAAATTAGTGGGATGGCAGGATGGATGGACGGATGGATGGATGAACAGATAAATAAATAAGTGGGATGGATGGATGGATGGATGGATGGATGGATGGATGGATGGATGGAGGGAGGGATGGATGGATGGATAAATAAGTGGGATGGACGGATGGATGGATGAACAGATAAATAAATAAGTGGGATGGGTGGATAAATAAGTGGGATGGATGGTTGGTTGGATGGATGGATAAATAAATAAATGGATACTTGGACGGACGGATGGATAGATGGATGGATGGATGGATGGTTGGATAAATAAGTGGGGGGGATGGATGGAAAAACGTATGATGGGTTGGTGGATTGATGGTTGGTTTGATAAATATATAAGGGAGTGAGTTGGATGGATGATTGAATGAACAGATGATGTGTGGGTGGTTGATGGTTGGCTGGATAGATAAATAAGTGGATGGATGGATGATTAAAAAAATAGATGGGTTGGCTGTATATATATATATATAAGTAGATAGATGAATGATGGGTGGGAGGATAGATAAATAGGTTGATGCATGAGTGGGTGGGTGGATGAATGGATGGATGGATGGATGGATGGATGGATGGATGATGTACTTATGCGTTTATGTACAGATGGAAGACCCTACTGACAAAAAAAAAAAAATGCTTAAACCAGTCTAGGCAGGTTGGCTGGTTTTAGCCTGGTTTTAACGGGGTCTTAGTTAAACATTTTCCAGCCTGACCAGCTAAGACCAGGCTGAGGTTAATCTGTTCACATCGCCAATCATCTTATTTTTCCATGATGGAATGAAAGTCTATGAATTAAATGTTTGGTTTTATAAATAAAATAGCCTAGCTTGGAAATATTTCATCAGCTTTTTGATAAAATTATGAATTTATTCAGTTAGTAATTTAACATTAGTTTGACCTGACTGTTTCCAGTGTGAAGTATGTTAAAATGTCATTTATTCCTGTGACGATCTTTCAGCTTTTTCAGAATCACGTGATGTTTGTCATGACTCATGTTGAAAAGTCAGTCACTATTTCAGACATTATTTACATCAGTATTTGCTGATAATCACTTGTACACTGTTTAGTTTATCAAGTCCTAAATTGTTCATGTGTAAAATAATAACATACTGTAGTCATAGATATTTACATTGATGTCGCCTGTTGTTGAAGGAATGCATCAATAGAGCCGCCATTTTACTACAGGGTAGCGCTCCCTTGAAATAAATGATGGACCAAGGTGCCGTGGAGGACTGAGAGCAGAGATTTACACATATATGATTGGGAGTTTTCCCGGTGGTCAGTATACGCAAACATTTTATTAAAATTACAAAAATGATCATTTTACATCACTTTTGTACATTGATAGATAAGAGACCACGCGGGCATTCCTGACAAGAGCATGTGTCTGTGTGGAAATGTAGTTATCTCTCCCTACCTGTTTAATTTGCCCTAATCCGTGTCCTGAAACACCTGCTCTCCTGCTTTCACTGCTCATCAGAGGGAGCGATTCGCTTGTGAATAAATCTCCGTTAATTAGCCGACAGTACAGGGGCGCCCCCAAGGGGTGGCCAGGGGTGGCCACGGCCACCCCACGGTAAACTCTGGCCACCCCTGTGGCCACCCCAATATAATTTTGCTGTTGACATTATTGATTTAAATGTACTTATAAATTCCCAATATTTAAATAAATAAATACATAAAATGCAGCCACTAAATTATTGTTGGTGTTACTGACGTAGCTCTCCCCCTCTGGTTCAATGCTGGTGAAAGCAAACTGACGCATGCGCGCAGAAAACCATTCCCGCGCGCCTCACGCACTCCTGTGTGAATCCCGGTTAGTTGTTTCCATGCACGCCAATAAAATAGGCGCCGCTCATGTGCCGTGAAACCGGAGTAACAGCCTTTTGTGCAGAGGTGTAGGCACGCAGCGAGTTTTGAAAGTCGACTAAAGTTTATATAATATGATGATTATGATGATGATGATGATGATGATGATGATGATGATGTTACTTTCACTAAGCATGGCTTTAAAGCAGAAAGGATGGATAAT